CACTCTGTTAAAAATAAGCTTGGTTTCTTACACCTTCTTATCAGCTTTTGTCCTTTTCTGCAGTTTCACCAGGATGTGTCTATTTGTAGATTTCTTTTCACCTTCTCTGCTTTGATTTCACTGAGCTTCTTGAGTCTGTAGTTTGGGGTCTAAAGATTTCTGTCCTATTTCTCTCTTTCCGAGACTCTAGCTATGTCTGTCAGACATTCTCAATCTATTCTCTGCCTCTTAGTCCTTCTGTATTCTCATACTTTTATTTCTTCATGTTGGATAATTTCTTCGGACCCATCTCCAATTCATTTATTCTCTCCAACCTGCTGTGAATTCCATCCTTTGGGTTCTTTTTTATTATTTTTTTAATTAAAAAAATTTTTTAGTTGTTGCCACAATACCTTTATTTTATTTTTTTGTTTTTATGTGGTGTAAGGATTGAACTCGGTGCTTCATGCGTGCTAAGCAAGGGCTCCACCACTGAGCCATAACCTCAGCCCCCTGCCCTCTTTTCCAACCCAGATTTTGTTTTCTTTCTCAACACACTGTGTTTCACAGCTCCATTCCTTGCTTGGACTTTTGAGTTGCAATCTACTCCTTTGAACAATGCACATGCTGTGTCACTGCCTCTGCCTGAGAATTCCAGGTTAAGTCCCCCTGCCTCAGTATCTGTCACAAGTCGCTTCTGCCAGTTCTCAGGTGTCTTGTCATCCTGAGGACTAGCTATTTTTGTGTTGTTCACTGTATTTGAGAATTTTTATAGGAATAGTTGGATGGCTAGGATCTTTCTCCAAAGATGTTTTTTTAAAAAAAATTTTTTAGTTATACATGGGCACAATATCTTTATTTTGTTTATTTATTCTTATGTGATGCTGAGGATCGAACCCAGGGTCTCACATGTGAGAGGCGAGTGCTCTACAGCTGAGCCCCAACCCCGGCCCCTCCAAAGATGGTTTTTATTTGCTCCTGCCATCTAAGTGCAGCATGTGACACCATTCTGATTTTTCTTTCCTTTCTTATTTTTTTCTTTTTGGTCCCAGGGATTAAATCCAGAGGCACTCAACCACGGAGCTACATCCTCAGTCCTTTTTACTTTTTATTTTGAGATAGGGTCTTGCTAAGTTGCCCAGGCTGGCCTCAAACTCAAGACTCTCCTGCCTCAGTCTCCTGGGTTGCTGAGATTACAGGTGTGCACCACTGCGCCTGGTGGTTTTATTTTTGTTTTGTCACTCAGAGGATGACTTTAAGTAACTTGACATGACCAAAGTGAAACTTCTTCCATTTTCTGAAACTTACTGAAAAAGGCAGGGACCACCCTTTTCTCCATGCTTGGTACAAAGCTCGCAAAGTCAGTGGGTCTAAGGCCGTTCTCAGTGCTTCATTTTCTGGAAAGCATTTTCACCTTTTGCCTGCCGAGTGCACATATTATTATTTAGGATTTAGGTGATACGTCCTCTGGTTAGCTTTCTTCACCTCTCCTGTGCCCTAGCTTTTTTCTGGTATTATTATAATGAATCATCTCTCTGTTTCTACTTCTCTATTCCCTTAATAGACCCAGAACTTACTGATGGGTAATGACTATTATTTATTTGTCTTTACAAAACTAGTTTCTAAAATGGTCCCTGAAAAATGCTCTAAAGTATTGGCCAAGGCTTACTTTGTGTCCCTCACTGTGGTGGCATGTTCGCCTGGTTTACTCAAGGTAGTTATATAACATAAAAAAGATGCCACTGAACCCTGAACTACTAGCTTGGTTCCTTCAGTTCAGGCAAGGCGGAAAATCGCTAGTCTTTCTGAGTGGTTGACCCCATCCACCACTGACCACCTTGACTTCCTGTGGTTTCCTTACCCTTACTACTTCTCTTCTGTCCTAATTATGACACTTTTAAAATCTTCTCTTGTGGCTTTTTCTTCCTCCTTTTCCATACTCTTTTTCCACACTTTTTGTTTGGATTGTTGTGTTTTCTCCTAGATTCATGCCATTTCTTTTCTCCTTTCTGAAAATACAGCATATCTAAAAAAAAAAATCTTTGTTCATTAACTCAGTTCATATTTATTGAGCCATTACCACAGAGTGGATCTTCTCCCAGGTGATGGCTGGCGATACAAAAGTAAACTCAACAGGGCTGGGGTCATAGCTCAGGGGTACAGCGCTCACCTAGCACATGTGAGGCACTAGACTCGAACCTCAGCACCACATAAAAAATAATATAAAGGTTCTGTGTCCATCTCTGCCCTTCTGGAGCTTGTAATTCTAGCAATATACACAATAGATAGCTAGGATCTTTCTCCAAAGATGGTTGAAGGGTTAACTTGCCCAGAACAGTGAAAGAAAAAGCTGCTTTTATGTGAACTTCTACAGACTGTGAACTTCTGAGCCCCTCCCCTTCCAAGCTGGTATAAAATTCTGAAACTACCTAAACTGGGTGTGGGTGTGCACACCTGTAATCCCAGCAACTCGGAAGGCTGAGGTAGGAGGATCACAAGTTCAGAGCCAGCCTCAGCCATTTAGTGAGACCCTGACTCATAATGATTTTTTTTAAAGGGCTGGGGATGTAGCTCAGTAATAAAATGCCATGATAGAAAAGAAAAACAAAATAGATAAGTAACAATAAATAAAATAATTTAACTCCATCACATAGGTAGTGTAAAATGCTACGATGAGCTGGGTTTGGGGGCACATGCCTGTAATTCCGGTGCCTAGGGAGGTCGAGGCAGGAGGGCAAGTTTAAAGCCAGTCTCCATAGCCTAGTCAGACTGTCTCAAAATAAAAAGTAAAAAGGGCTGGGGATGTGGCTCAGTGCTTAAGTGCCCCTGGTTTTAATCTCAGGCACCCCCATTCCCCACAAAAAAATCCTGAGGCAGAAGAGCTGAGGCAGAATGGAGGAGGGAGGCTGAGTAGATGAGATCTTAGTAGGGAGGGAAGAATTTGACCATTTCCAGGCTTTGGCATGGAAGAACTTGAACCTTTACTGAATGGAATCAAAATCCACTAGAGGGTTTTGGGCAGAGCAAAATGTTGACATATTTTTAGAGGATCTAGAATGTAAGGACAAGACCAATCAGAACCATGTTGCAATGTTATAGGCAAGAAATTGTGGGGAATGTTTCCTGAAAATTCAGAGTTTTGTTTTATAACTGAGAATAGAAAACTAAGTATACTTTCTATCTTCTGCTCAAGGAAAAAACGGTGAGACTTTTGGCCTGCTAGCCTAAGGATTGTCTTGAGCTCTGGTAGGAGTTGTGATGTCTGGCATCTAGTGAGCAAATGAACGTTTGTGGAACGGATGGGTAGTGGCACCCCCTCCTCCCCAAAAAATCTTAACTGGGCTTGTCCAAAAATCTTCACCATGGCTGATTTTAGGACTGTCAGCAAAAGAGTCCCCACCAAAGAGTTCAATGTAGATAAACTTCCTATTTTCGTGTTGCCCTATCTTACTTGGCCGCTAGCCTGGAAGAAATAGGAACTGGATGTGCTGGACACTCCGTTATTAGTTTTTCACAAACATGTATCCAGTATAGTAGTTTGTAGAAATGTGTAAACCAGGCCTCTGGCCTTGAGCTGGGCTTCACACAGATGTCTACATTTCTAAGAAAAGAGAAGTTACCAACTGGGCTCCTTGGTAACAGCTGGCAGGGGAGGAGAAAAAGGGGAGAAGCTCTCCCCTTCTCAGGTGCTGTCCTTGAAGGGTTAACTTGCCCAGAACAGTGAAAGGAAAAGCTGCTTTTAGGTGAACTTTTGCAAACTGTGAACTTCCGAGCCCCTCCCCTTATTTTCTGGGTATAAAACTCTGAAACTCCCTGAACTCGGGGTTCAGGGGATTGATTACAGCAAAAACTGTGCCCTCTGGACCTGGCTGCAGCCAAATGAAAGGGTTTCCTGCTGTCTTCGGTGCCTTGCCTCATCTGCCCCTACAAGAGACGAACATGTAGCCAGAAAACAGAAACTGAATGACAGCATCAGGGATCTGGGTTGTGCCAGCTCACTGGCGTGCACGCTCTAGTTATGTTTGTTGTGTCTTTAAATTTCATTCAACAAAGAATGACCAAAGTGCCACACTTGAACACACTCCTAGTCTTCAATTAATATGTGGAGGCTGTGTGTACATATTTTAAGTGACTCCACAGCAATCTGTACAGTTCCTGTCACAGCAGGTCACTGGACTGCCTCTCTCTCAAAGGTCTGAGATCTTTCAGGGTTGGAACAACAACAACAACAACAAACAAAAACACACGCAGTGCAGAAAGCACACGCAGTGCAATTTAATTAAGGGAGTGGAAAGAAAATGTCGGTATCAACACTGGTCAGAGACGCTTTGTTGAATTCTTGAGAAGAACATATTCCTTTCCTTAGAGAAACGCGCGTCTTACCCTGCTATTGGAGCGCTCTGCTGCTGCTTCTGACCCTGTTCAGTCCGGGAGCCCGGGAGCCCGCAGTGCACTCCGCCTGCGCCCAGCGCCAGCCGGGCTAGTGCTGGTCAGGGCCACCGGGCTAGAGCTGACCGGCTCTCAGGGTGCGCCTGGGGCTGCTGCCGGGCAGCGCGGGCTCCTCGACCCACTGAAGAGGCAGGACCCAGGTCTGCGCCCCCGTCCCCGGCCTCGCCCAGCATCTGTCCCTTGGGTGTCCGCGGCCCTCGAGGGTCTCTGTGCCGTCCCTGCCCACGAGGGGGACACCGCCACTTGGTCTCCCCGCCCTGGGGGCGCGTCCATCCCAGACCCGTCCCGCACGGGCGGCCAAGGCGACCCCGGCCCGGAGGCCCCGCCTAGGACGCAGGCCCGCCCTGCCCCGCGGCGACCCCGGCGACCCCGCGCCCCGGGACTTCCGGCGCGCCCCCCGCCCGGGCGGGACTTCCGCCGCCCCCTCCCCGGCCTGCTCGGCGGCTCTGCGCGGCTGGGTGGCGGCTCCCGGGCTCCGGCGCTGCGTGCGGTCCCGCGCTCCTGCTGCCGCTCGGCCTCGGCCTCGCCTCCTGCCGCCTCGGCCCCTCGGCCCTCGCCGCTCCTCCTCCTCCTCGCTGCCCCTCGCCGCCCCTCGCCACCCCTCAGCGCCGCTCCTCAGCGCCGCTCGGCCGCGCAGCGAGGCAAGATGGCGGCGCCCAGGCCTCCGCCCGCCCGGCTCTCGGGCGTCATGGTGCCGGCGCCCATCCAGGACCTGGAGGCCCTTCGCGCGCTCACGGCGCTCTTCAAGGAGCAGCGCAACCGGTAACGGGCGCCGGGGCCGGGCGGCGAGGCGCGGGGCCGCGCGAGGCCTGCGGGGGGGGCGCTGCCCCGTGTGCCTGCAGCCTGCCCAGCGGGACTCTGCCCCTGCCCTCCGCCTGCATCCCTGCCCTCGGGCTGCAGCCCTGCCCCTTGTGCCTGCTTCTGCCCCTTGTGCCTGCACCCCTGCCCCTTGTGCAAGCCCCTACCCTCTGCCTGTGGCCCGTGCCCTGGGTGCGTGCAGCCCTGTTCTGTGTGCCTGCCCCTGCCTTATGCCTGCCATGCCCTGCGTGCTTGCAGCCCTGCCCTGTGGGACTCTGCCCCTTGCCCTGCATGCCTGCAGTCCGCCCCTATGGGGGCTGTCCCTGTTCTGCAGGCCTGTTTTCCTGGCCTACTGCCCCGTCTTGTGGATTCTGTTTAGAGCGCTTGACGTGGAGGCTACTGGAGCTGCACATTCTGAGGCCTTTTTATATGGCTCCCATTGGGTCGCACTGCCCTGGAGCAGTGTTGTGTGGTGTGCAGAGCACTGGCTGGGAATGGCTGGCCCAGTTGGTGAGAAGACCAGGTGTCCAGGAGTCGATCAAGCCTGGGTCTGATTCTTAGCCTAACCAGTTGGACTATGGAGCACTTTCTTGAAACCTTACTTAGATTCCTGACCTAAAAACGGGAATATGATGCATAACTGCATTGCTGGATGGTACAGAGGGACAGGTGAAGTAAAGCATGTGGAAATATAAAGTACCTGAAGCCCTCGGTTCCTATTTGATTTGCTTCTCTTCCCTGGGCCTCAGTGCATCTTTGGTTTAAAGGGAATAATATTGGACAGTATCTCCCTATGGGCTTGTCATGAGGACTAAATGAAATAATGCATATTACCTCCTCAGGATGTGCTTGGTACAAAGATATTGTATTAGTGGGAAAATGCAAAGTCCTTGTTTTCTCCTGTAGGAAGCTAAAACAACAAGCAACCCTGGGGGTTTGGGCAAAGAGAAAACACAGGGGAAAGGAGCATCTAGTTTTGGATTGGTCTAGAGGGTGATAAGAAGTGCCCCTCTCTTTGAACTAGATACCTGGTCTGAGCAGTTCTGGTACCCCCGGTCAGTAGAAAGAGTGGAGCTGCTGGAAGGTGCAGAAAGCTCAGGGCAGTGCTCCTTGGGTTTTTAGGGGAGATGTTTGTCTTCATTGGCAGGGGTAGGAGTGACACCTTCATATGATATTATTGGGAGACACGTTGGTTGATTTGAAGCTTAGCGTTATCTATACCAAGCTGGATCCATAACCCAATCATCACCCATTTGTTGAGTGCCTACCATGAGCCAGGTTCTTTGCTGGAGTCTGGGTACAGAGACGAGTGTGGCATGATTCCTTTTGTCAAGTATGTTAGGGAATTGCTATGTAAGCATGTCAGAAGGGAGATCTGTGTAGGAACAGGTGCTGCACAGAGGGAGCCCATGGATATTTGGGATTGATGGGTAAGCCAGTATTACTGCAGCTGTTGGGTTACAATGCATGAAGAGGACTTGTTGGAAAAATAAGTATTTGCAAAGGGGCCATATACTGGTTTCAAAGTGCTGCAGAGAGGATTAAATGAAACATCATGGGTTAGGTCTGGTCCATTGAAACCTCATTTTCCTTTTAATAGCCTGCTGGAGAAAATCTAAGGCTCTGAGTCTGTTTACAAGGCCCTCTTGACTTGGTCTGTTGTATCACTGAAGGTTTTTATCAAGGGACTGGCATGATAACATCTGGGTATTAGAAAGACCTTCTGGCTGCGACTGTATGGAATAAGAGAGGATGAAGCTAGAGTAGGGGGGGCTTTAAGAAGCTATTGCAGAAGCACAAGTTAAAAAAGTACCCAAAGATAGGACACATTGTAGGGCTGGATAGGAAAAAGATTGAGAAATACTTATAAAATTAAATGAACACAACTCAGGGACCATTTGGATTGTTGGGCGAGAAGGAGTAAATGAGGGTATTACTCAGACTTGGTTCAGTTTCTTCTGGGGCAGCGTCCTTGTTGCAGGCAAAGTTTGGGGACTAGGAAAGGTGAACTGATTGGCAGGTCCTGGGATGGAGAGAGACAACTGTGGTGGTGCAGAGAGCTCTTGATGATGGTCTGTAAGGACATGCTTCTGGTCTTGTGCCTGCCACTGTGTCTCTTTGTTTTCATGCAAATCATTGTGGTCTATAGGGTTTGTCTCCGATTGGATCCCTCTAGCCCTGACACACTGTCAGGGATCCTTGAGGGATGTTTGTCTTTATTGGCAGGGTCACCTTGGATAGGCCTAGTGCTGTTGTATAGCATGGAATGGGAATGCAAATGGTCCAAAGTGTCAGGAGCTGGATGAGACATAAAGGGAAGCAGAATGAGTCCTCAAAATAGCAGATAGGAAATAGACAAATTGAAAACAAGAATAAGGAAAGTAACTTACTTTTCCTTGGTGGAAAAGTAAGTTACTTCCTCCTGAAGTCCTTGATGTTAAAAAAACGAGCTTCCGTCTGATGTCAGTGGTAGAAACCCTGCAGTGGGAAGAGCAGTGGCCTTGGAGCCATGTAGATCTGAACAGGAATCCTGGCTTCTTGGTCTCTGAAGACATCTTGGCAGGGATCTTGGAACTACATAGACCTGAACAGGAATCCTGGCTCCATCTCTGCAGACATTTAGGCAGTGGCTTTGGAGCCATGTAGACCTGAACAGGAATCCTGGCTCGGTCTCTGTAGACGCCTTGGCAAGGGCCTTGGAACCATGTAGACCTGAACAGAAATTCTGGCTTGGTTTCTGCAGACTTCTTGTTTTTCATCTTGAAAACGGGAGGATGGTAACCACTTTGCAGAAGTATTGTGAGGATCCATGATGTTATTTGTATAGCACTGTGGTTCATGCAAAGGCCCTGCTGTTAAGAAAGGACTGGTCTGGCCAGTGCAGTGGCTCGGGAGGCTGAGGCAGGAGGATCACAAGTTCAAAGCCAGTCTCAGGAAAAGCGAGGTGGTAACCAACTCAGTGAGACCCTGTCTCTAAAAAAAATACAAAGTAGGGCTGGGGGTGTGCCTCAGTGGTCAAGTATCCTGAAGTTCAATCCCTTGTACCCCACAAAAAAACCAAAGGACTGGTCTGAAATGAATGGGAGCACAATCGTGTTTCACCTCCTGCTTTATTGCAAACAACTGAAGCTATTTTAGGATAGTGATAATTTAAAGTTTTGTTTTTAATTGTGGTGCTGGTACAACCCCTGATAATTCTAATTTGAGGTTTCCAGAGAAAGAGCTTCTGGAATTTCATTATACAATTTTTAGCAACCCTCAAGAAAAAGGAGATTCTCATATCCCATTACATGTCCACACAACCCTTGACTCAAGTCTGTCAGGTTTTTCTCTCATGTGAGCTGAACATAGTGACTTGTTTCTAAAGAGCGGATCATGGAAGGAGTGATAGTGTGTGATCTTACCTTTTTCTTTGCTCTCTCTTGGATCATGCATCCTGACAAGCCCGCTGCCAGGCTTCTGCATGCATCTGCAGAGTGCTGTGGAGGGGAACGGGCCTGCTGCTGAGGGCCATTGAAGAGCTATGTGGAAGTGGGTCCTCTCAGAACAGCCAGACTTTTAGCTGTATATGCAACCTCCAGATCCTGAGCCACTTTCAGAGTTCTTTCTTCTTTTCTGTGGTTATGATTTTTTTCTCTGGTGCTGGGGTCATTGAACCCACGACTTCTTGGATGCCAGGCAAGTGCTCTACCAGTGAGCCATTTCGCTAGTCCCTGTATCAGATTTCTGATTGTCCTAGTTGTATGTGTAAGATCATAAATGTTTCTTCTTTAAATAGCTGAATTCAGGGGATGCTTTGCTGTATGGTAGTGAATCATTAATACAGTCTAAATTCATGCATCAGACATTTTGTAACCCTCTTCTTGAATAATTAACCACTAAAATTTGCTGAATAATTGCTTATGGCCACAAAATGTAGATATTAAGATTGCCCTCAGCTAATTTTTCTCTTTGGAGGATAATTCTTTTTTTTCTCTCATCTATTTTACATTTGTTTTATACCTCTGGTTGAATATGGATATCTGCATATTTCACATTTGCTTAACAAGTGATTTTTTGTGTGTGTGTGCTGTGCTGTGAATCATTGCAAATCATGTTAAATCCTTCCTGGAACAAACTAAGATATAAAAATTAAAAATTCTCTGGGGCTGTGTTTGAGGCTCAGTGGCAGAGTGCTTGCTTCGTACATGTGAGGCACTGGGTTTGATCCCCAGCGCTACGAAAAAAATGAATAATAAAATAAACAAAATAAAGATATTGTGTTCATGTATAACTAAAAACTTTAAAAAAAATTTAAAAATTCTGGTTTTGGTCTTTTGGAGGTTTTATTTTCCAGCTCTTGTTACCTTTGTGATGTGTCCTAGAGACACACTGGTGCCGTTTGTTAAGAGGCCGCCAGTCACGTAGGACTTTTTAAATTCAAATTGATCTGCAATAATCAGAGTTAGGCATACAGTGGCCACATGTGACCAGGTGCCTTCCTGGGCAGTGCAGGTGTGGAGTGCACTGTCACCTACTGCTCTGAAATTTGTAGGCAAGGATTGTCTCTGGGCTCTTGAATGTTCATAAAATAAATGTAACATTTGATAACTGTTTTCTATAAATTCTCATATTTGAATGATACCTTATTGCTCCTTCATCTTGTAATCGTTTTTTTTTGGGGGGGGGCAGGGGGTACCAGGGATTGAACTCAGGGGCACTCAACCACTCAGCCACATCTCCAGTCCTATTTTGTATTTTATTTAGAGACAGGGTCTCCCTGAGTTGCTTAGCACCTCATTTTTGCTGAGACTGGCTTTGAATTTGTGATTCTCCTGCTTCAGCCTCCTGAGCTGCTGGGATTACAGGTGTGCACCATTGTGCTGGGCTTCATTTGATTATCTCGAATAAAGTGAGCACCTCCCCTTCATCTGCCCTGTTGTATGAGGGTAGTAGAGGCTTAACAAGGTGTCATGGAGTGCTGG